TTTTTTTGGAAATAAAAATGTTTGCATTTCTTCAGTTTTTAAGGAACTCCTAATAGTTCGATTTGCACCCAGGAACACAGTAGTTTCATGGCATCTGGAACAAGTATAAATATCTTAGGTAATATATCGAGACCTATGCTCTTGCAGACAAATATTAATATTGTTTTTATTGTTTTACCTTACCTTACCTTCATTTTTGCTCCTGTACCCATTTGCTAAAAATTTGCAATCAAAGCACAAAGGAACAGGTATCAACTAAATATGGGCAATATATTGGTGTGTTTCTATCCACTTTTTCGTCAATAATGCCCATAAAAATACTAAATTGCAACAATACACAATGAAAGCAATACACAGAAACACATAACCCAATAACAAAATAGCACCATACGCGACGTTGCCGTCATTTCCAATTTCATGGCTTGTTAACTATAGGAGGCTGTGCCTTGGCTCATTTCACACCGATCAGCTGTTGCAGTGTTGCCAATAGCCAAAGTTACTGACAGAACACTTTCTAAACTAAAATAAACAATTCTAAATTGATACAATCGTACAGCCACCTCTATCTACACTGTCTCTGAGTCTATGAATCAAATGTTGCAATTAAAAAGCCTTGTCCTTCATATAGCCCTTCTACATTAGGTACAATATTTTTAAATCCTAAACGCCTTTTACACCTCAAAATATTAATTCATAATTAAGTGTAATTGACCTGTCTCGCATAAATAGAAAAGGATAGCTGGATTGTAATAAATACAAGTTAGAAAGTAATAAAAGATGACATGCGCGCACTACTAGTGGATTGCAGTGTTGCCAATTTGTATTGTTGCAGAACAAATGTAGACAATACAAATCGAACATTAGATTGAAGAAATGATATAGGATATAGTGTCAAGTGTGTTACAGCGCCTTAAATCAGGAAAAAGAAGAGCTTTAAAGTGTATGTTAACATCGTTTGAACCTTTATTAGTTCAAAAGTAATACGTAAAGTATTAGTTTGGGTTAGTGGAATATGACGCAAGCCCGTAACAAACTCGCTTCTCATTGGACGCTCACCTGCAGCCCACGAGTTGCGCGCGCAGTCATGGTAAAAGAAGATAGGTCAATTATTATAACTTCCTGTTCTATAAGCGTATAAAATCCCTGAACTCGCTTGCTGCCAACTTTTTGTACAATACTTATACTCAAACTAAAGTTCGCCTCACGAGTCTAGCACTATGGAAAAAATGCGGATAAAAAAATTGCAATATTGCCTATTTCACTTCCAATAGAAAATACCTTGATATTTATCTATGTTACACACCTACATTTATAAGGAAAAAATAATATTCAAAAACGCTGCGCGCACGCCTATGACAGGCAGCATGAAGCTCGAAATGAATGGCGTTATTCCTCCTTGCCCTTCAGACGTCGCGTCGTAGTGCTAGACTCGTAAGGCGAACTATAGTATATTTAGCCAGAGTAAATACTAACAAAACAATGAACATTTTATCTAAATTAATTTAATTAGAAACCAAATTATCAGACTAATAATTTTCTAGACGGGACAAAACAGTTAATTTCGATTATCCAAACTCTTCAGTAAAATTTATTTCAATTAACAGTCATTTGAATTATATTTCTATTTCTGTATCTATACCAAGCATAAAAATATTCAAAGTCGATTCACTCAAGTTAATAATATTTATGCAAGAAAGTTCCATAGTCAATTCACTTTATAGTCATTTCAACATCGATAAAGTCAAAATTAAACATGTCACTAGAGTACTCACATTGGTCCTTGAAAACAGTGGCGCACCCAGGTTTTTTATTTGGGGGGGGTTTTCAGTTTTCATAATGATGAGGGCTTGCCGCAAAAAATAACTTTTTGTAAGTGATTTCCACCAAAAAACAATTAAAACGAACGCTCGCAACAAAATAGCTGCGCGAAAAAAAGCTATTGTCACCGCCACTATTTTTATAATCACGTGCAGTGTTGCCAACTATGAACCGAGACTCTCCACTAGAAAAGAGATTTAAATTCACTAAAAGAAAAAAAAATGCTGGACTAGTGGAAAATCTACTAAATTACTCAGCCCAGAATTTTTTGAAATATATAGCACTCCTATCTTTTTTATTGTTTAATAATTCTAAAAAATATGGATACTCAACGCCATCTAGGTATCATCTACCATGTTGTGTTGTGTTAGTTTCTTTTCTTTATTTCTTAGAATATGTTACAGCAGCATGTTTATAAAAGCATGATGGCTGGATTTGCGGTTCACTCACTTGTCTGGAACTTTGAAAGTGACAGTGTTGACAGTTGACATGAAAGCATCATTGACAATATTGATTGACATACATACGATATGACAAGCCCAAAGATGATACACACTACTAAGGATGGCCTATCCTTAGGCCTGTGTGTATAACAAATCCCTTCCCCCCCAAACCAAAATACTAGTTGTGACGTAAGGAGCATGTTATTTCTCGCCTTGACGTAGGCTGTTTAAATAGCTGACGACTTAGTTATAACGTCGGAAATCGTATCACACCAATATGGCGGCGATTTTCAAAAACGAGGCCGATAAGCACTTCTTAGAGTGTGTATTCTCCTTGTGACAATTAAGCCCACAAAAAAAGCAAATATGATACACACTAAATCTGTGCACTCTACTACTACAAGATGGCCTATCCTCATAAGGTCTGTGTGTAACAAATACCCCGTCGCCAAATTACCAGTTGTGACGTAGGCCTCATGTTATTTCTCGCCTTGACGTAGGCTGTTTAACAGCTGACGACTTAGTTATAACGTCGGAAATAGTGACACACCAATATGGCGGCGATTACCAAAAACGATAAGCAATCTCGTAGGTGTGTATCATTATCATCCTTGAATAGTATATGCTGCCTTCTGTAAATCAACAGGAAGCCTATGCAAATACGTTTTTTCGAAATTTTAAAAAGAAGTATCAAGATGAACTAATGGAAGCGAAGTATCACTGAAAATCATTGAGCTAAAAATTCACTAGAAACCGTGGATCCCATTCCCATTAAAACTAGCACTATTGTGGAATTTGCTAAAACCATTTCACTAGACAACTTTCAAATCCACTAGAACTAGTGAAAATTTTACCGAGTTGACAACACTGAATATGTGTATTTAGAAGAAAGAGAATTTCACACATTGTTGCAAACATTCTAAATTCCGTCTCCACCAATCAAATGAATTTGTTCACGAACATTGCTGATCATTCGCAAATTTTCAATCATTTTGCGCGCTTGGTGGAAATGCACCTTTACATGACCGCGAAATGCGATGTACGGTGCCGGGCCGGGTTGCCAGATTTCCATGTTCTTGGTTTCGATTTCAGATTTCAGTAATTTCGCGTAACGTAAATAGGATTTTTTTAAATGTAAAATGAAAAGTTTGTAGGTACCTATTAACCAAAATCGCAAAAAGAAATATTTTTACCGAAAAATTCTTTGTACCAGTACTAAATTTCGGGGGGGGGGGGGGGTTTTAACCACCAAAACCCCCCCCGCGCCACTGCTTGAAAACACTAAACGATTCAATTTTTTTTTTTTATTATTATTTCGAGCTCGCACATAATGTTGAACGAATTTAAATGTTTTCTTTCACAATTTTCCGTTACTTTTTCAAACATTCGATTTAACGCGTTTTCTCGAGGCAACAAAATAAAAGAAACTTTTCGCGAATTTTTATCCGGACTGACTCATTAGGAACTGTAGATTCAAATTCAAGACTGAACTGAAGACTCAACTGGACTGACTGATCTTAAACTGGTTTCAAAATTCCGAAACCGCTGTTTTTATTTTTTTTTTATTCCACCCGTTTTTCTTTTCTAGGAAATATAATTTATTTATTTAAAACCGAATAATTATGTCGCAATTTCCTGGATTATCAGGGTCGACAGATTTGGTTTAAGAATGTGAGGACATATAAATTAATAAACCAAAGGATTCCGATACTCGTGTCAACGTGTCGGCAATAAATCACCAATTTAATTACTTTTGCCTAGATTTTAATATTTTTATGGACTTGATTTATGTGATGACACACGCTGATACTGATTTGAAATACAGGAAATTCAGTTTTTGATTATTTGATTACATTTAATTTTTACAATTAAGACATGGTAAGTTACGGGTCTATTTTTCCCGGGTTATTACAATATGATACTGAACCGAACAACCCGATACCTTTCCGTACAAGAGTGACCTGATCCTAGATCCGTTTCCGTACGTCGAGATTGGAATCTTTGTGATCGGGTTAACCCGATCATTGTTTTTATAAGCAGCTTATAAGAAAAAAAATTGGCATTGACAATATTGTCTGTCATTGTTCGCTGACGTCATCCTAAATATAACATAAAAACCCTATACATCTCTAATGTTGTTTGAAAAAAAGTAACATTTCTGTCACATAAAGTCCGTCGATTTTGATCTGATACTTCAAAGGAATGTGAACTGGTGGCTCCCTACATTAGAACGCTAATGGTCACCTGGGTCCTTATTCTTGAAACAGGGGAGCAGCGTTCCCAAGAGAACAAGTGTTCCGTCTTTGTTACTTGTATTATCAATTGCATATCATTGAGAAAGACGGAACACTCGTTCTCTTGGAAACGCTGCTCCAATGTTTCAAGAATAAGGACCCTGGGCTGGGACTCTAAAACGAATAGAGATATTTTCTCTATCTCTATTGACTTCTCCTCTCGATTTCGACAAGAGAGAAGAAGACAGCAAGTACTCTATTCGTTACAGAGTTCCAGCCCTGACATCACACCCTTTTTTGCCATAAGCTTCACCCCCTCGCTCCTCATACGGAAAGTGTCAGATTAAAAACGAAGAACAATAGGTCAAATTTTAAAATTTTATAAAAAAAATTTGTGTTGTTCGTTTTATTGAATTTCCCAGAAATTTTAGGGAATTAGCAACTACTCCATCTTCTATATTGCAATAATGACCCAAAGCTAATACCTACATATTTTTTTCATTAGGTTACTTGGAGTGCGAATTGTGAGCCACTTGACCTAGACGGTCCTCCAATAGACGGAGGTTGGTCCCAGTGGTCTCCATGGACTTGCACAGTTTCTTGCGGTGGAGGCGAAGGATTTCGCACCAGAACATGCTCTAATCCACACCCGAATATATTTGGAAGACTTTGCAAGGGGTATTGGCTATAACTTGTTATGAAATTCAAAATAATCATATTTTTCTGTATATCTAGAAATCCCACTGCTACAGGTCGTTGTAATGATTTTCCTTGTGGCGACATAAGTCCGGAAACCCTAGAAAAAATTCGCAAAAACCTCCGGAAAGCAGCTTACAGCTACGTCATAGATGAAGATAGCTCAGTTCTTTTAGTAAACGACAATGTCATATTGGCTATAGTCAACAAAGAATCTCCAGAGGCTTATTTTGAATGGACTCTCAATGGAGTGCTTATCAAACCAAACGAAAGAGTCTTGTTTCAAGGCGACAGTGTTTTAATAAAATCCGCAAAACCCAGTGATGCTGGAATATATGTTTCAATGGTTTATCGAATAAATGGCCAACGAGTGATTTTAAAACTCATCACTTTGGCTGTGAGGGCGAAAACATTTGACGTTGACACTAGAGCTACTTGGTCCTATACTCTCCAATGTCACTCGGTGATTTTAGGCTACGTTTACGCTGACTTAAGCTTAAAACTACTTCAAAATGATAAAGTCTACTTGGATCATGGGTTGACGACTTTGGCAGCAGTAAATTCGCATATATTGGACCCTCTAAATCGATCAAATACAGGCGAATGGAAATGCCTTGTCGAACAAAAAGACTTGAAATTGAAATGGATAACGAATTTAGTGAAGATTAATGTGAAAAAAAGGCCAAATCTGTTTACTCATTTGATGGAAGATAAATTAACTGCCCCATTGTTTAAGTACTTTAAAAATGAAAAAACTATCGGGTGGGCGTTGCTTTTTATAGTTCTTAGTGTAATTTTTCTGGTCGTTATAGGTTTGGTTGTATATTTCAAGTTTTGTCACATGGAGTCGCGTTATAAGAGAAATAGAAGATTCTGATTGTTTTATTATAAATAAAGCTTAAAGTTTTTAATTTTGTTTTGGATGGCTTATAATAGGTAGCATTTAACTGATAAACAGTTCAATTGTAGTTTATTATTTTTGACAACAGCTCATAGATTTTAATTTAAATTTCCATAAATTATAGATTATACTTAATAATTTGTTGCTATTTTCCATAGGTCAAAGAAAAGAAGGCTTTAGAAAAATCACGCATGTCTACAGGGGCATGTGGAAAGTCACCCGAGGCAAAAAGATTGAAATTGCCCTGAAATTTTTGAAGCAAGAATCACAGGAAAGGCACATAAAGGTAGAAACTGATTTGATATTTATTATTTTATACAATTATAAAAGTGCAGTTTTATGTTAAATATCATAATTTTCTCTACTTCTCTAGGATTATCTGAATTTGGTTGGTCAATGGGCATTCCTAAAATCCTCATCAATAGTCCGACTTTTTGGTATAGCTTTTTCAGTCAACGATATATCACTAGTGATGGAATATTTCAAGCTAGGCCCTTTAGATCAATATTTGAGAAACAACAAAGGAATCATCAAAACTGTGGATTTAATTGAAGTAACTTGTAATTTGGCCTCGGCCCTTTGGCATTTGGTAATTTCCCTACTTGTGTGCAATTAAAACCGTTTGATTTGAAATTAATTTTTAGAAAGAAAACGATATTGTTCACGGTAAAATCCGTTGTAGGAAACTAATGGTAAATAGCCACGAAGAAAACGCCTTTACAGTGAAATTAGCTGATCCAGGCATACACACCAACTACGACCCAGGCGAGGTACACTGGATTCCAGTTGAATGCTACACAAACCTGGACAAACGATCTACTGCAGCCGATGTATGGGCCATGGCTACCACTTTATATGAAATATTCACTTACGGCAAAGAAATGCCAGAGATTGATCATATGCAAACGATACGGGTAAGAAATATTCATGCATTCATGGGACTCATTTAAATTAATTAAACAATGAACTGTTTTAGTGGTATTTGACTGGTAAAAGACTCCCACAACCGCCAGGTTGTCCTGACGAAATTTACACTCTGATGACTGAATGTTGGAACGCTGATCCGCACAGAAGGAAACAGCCTCAAGAAATTAGCAGAGATGTGAACCAGTTGCTGTATCAAGTTTATAATTCCAGGAAAAAGCATCCTTATGATACTGTAGGAAAATCTTCCATTACTGTCTCTTCCAGTCAAAGCTTGAATTCGAACATGACAGGTAGGAAATATTATGATAATAAAAAAAAAAAAATGATCTCATAACAAAGAAGAGAAGATTTCCTTCACTAGCATATTATCATCCATCTTTGTATATAGGCTTCTCCTAATTCTTGTCTGCAGTGTAAGTGTTAGTTTGAAGAAAACTAGGGTTATAACAGCCTCACCCCACATTTTTTTGCATAGTTTAGAATCAAATAGAAGGTATCGGGCCTTTTCCATTATTGTTCGGTTTAGCCTCTCAGCTATCCGATTTTGTTCTGGACTTCTTGGAACAGTTTACTGCAAATGAGTTCCTTCATTGTTACACAAGTCTTTTAATTTTTGAGAAACATATTCGCCGCCATTATCCAACATTATTCTGTCTATTTTATTGTTAAATTTTGCTTTGACTCGCCTTATATATTCTGTTAGCTTCTCTGTAACTTGGCTCTTGTTTTCCAGGAGATAACAAACGCAAAAGTATGAATAATGATCGATAAATGTCACGTAGTATCGTTATCCATCATGTGTTGCAGGCCTAAATGAAATGGCCCACACACATAAGTTGAAATACATTCCAAGATTCTTTTTACTTTTCTTTTTTCGTCTAGTGTCTCAAAAGGCAGCCTTGTTCGTTCACTTCCTAAACAAGTTCCATAAATTTGAGGTGAGGAATATTTACTAGAATGATCCATTTTTCTGTGCATCAACAATTTACTCTCATTTACAGTTGGGTTAACAATTGCTGTCTTGGGGTCTGAAGATATTTGATAATCTACTATATATAAATTCTCATGTCTTTTTCCTTGTAGACTTATCTTGTTTTTTTTTTCCATACGATCACTTCTCCATTTCCAAAATAAAACAACTGTTATTCAAGCTTCTTCCAGTTTTCTGACGGACAATAAATTATGTGATAATTTTTTGCACAACCAAATATTTTGTATTCTCATTTTTATATCAGGCATGTATTGGTGTTTGACAGACATATCACTGATAGATTTTGCCCTTTTTAGCACTGCTAATCTCATGGTTTTTGTTTTCTTCATTGATCCTTGTACTCTAGTTTCACCAAATGATGTGTAGCACCACAGAACACTCCAAATTCCCAATTCGAATAATTATTACCATCGAATGGTGTCACACTAGTATTATGCAAATTTCTTGTATCTATGTTTCAACAATTAGTATAACTACTGTAACTATTTTCCTCGCTATTTTTCTTTCCAATGTCCTCAACAATTTTTTGCTTCCGATTTTTAGAATTTTTACTCATAAACAAGTACGACGCAAAACGCAAGCTTCCGCGACTTCCACGTGAACTGGGCCCATAACCTATTAAATTATGAGATTATGAGTGAAAAACAGTTTGTCTTTTATTTCAACAACATGAAGACATTTCACATCAAAAACGTCAAACCAACGACCAAAAAACCCGTTGACTTTTTCTGCTGTCAGTTTTATCACACCTGACACACCTTGCTGGTGAAAAGTTGTTCGCACACTTGCAGCGAACTGCATTTACAAAATACAACAAGAAATGTATTCCAACAATAAGTGGTTGCTGATGACTTTCAGCAATACCCTGTAGACTTGGCATTAGAACAAGATGGGATGATGGAAGTTTCTGATGTCAGTACTGTCCCCTTTTAAGAGCAGAACTAAGGCTTTTATCTCATTTTTCTGGTATTTCCACACTCTCTAAACATAGTCTCTTCAGGCTCTTTTACTGTTTTTCAGAATTCTAGCTGTCCTCCACCTTCTGGTAATAAATTCTGTGATTCTCCAATAGCAGGCGGAAGAACCGATGAAGCTATTGTTTAGGGGCGGTCACTGTATGTTCTGATAAGGAATTGGCATTCCACGAGTAAACTACTCGATTATTTATGAAAAAATTTCTTTGGTATTTTGCATCCTTTTTCTTGTCCAGTTTCTTTGAATGTCATCCTCTCAGTGTAAGTTAGATTCTGTAGCTCTGGTGGTATTTTGGTTACTATTCTCTGTATTCTTTCAAGTGTTTCAATGTCTTTAATATAATAGGGGTTCCACACTGTAAAAGCATATTCCAGCTTTGGCCTAATATAGCTTTTATAAAGCTTTGTTATCATCTCAGTAGAATGATCTTTGAAAGTGTGTTTGATCAAAGGAACTTGCTTTTTTTGTTATTTTTACGATGTCATTTTCCCATTTTAAGTCTGATCCTAGGTCATTTTGCTCTGTTGCGGTTGATGGAACTGTCTTGTTCAACGAGTATTCGTGGTTTGGGCCAATTCTAAGCAGTGTACATTTTGTCCATCCCTGACCATTTGAACCCTGAAGTTATATAACGTTTGCCATCATCCGCAACATTTTTCAGTATGGCTTCAATCGGATCAACAAGATTAAATAGATAGGCAGTAAAGAGCAGTGGCCCCAACACCGATCCCCGGATAACTCCACTCTGAACTAAGTGTCTGCTTGATATTCCTCCATTCACTCGTTCTTGGTAGTATCGTTCATCCAACGACTCTAATCAACGTCAGCAATTGTCCACGCACTCCAAAGTGCTCCAACTTTTCACATAACAGCTTATGTAGCATTTTATCAAAGGCTTCTTCGTAGTCCAGGAAAATCACGTCTGTGGGTCGAACATTGTCATGGTTTTCTGTCCAGTCATTTAAACATTCAAGCAAGTTGGTAGTTGTTGAAATTTTTGAAATAAACCCATGTTGGGATGATGGAATTAAATTTAAAAAAAAAATCTGTTAGTTCTCCCACTATTATTTTTTCCATTCATTTCAAAGAGTTACTTTAAGGTTGATGCAGTGGTAATTCTCTGCCTTATGTCTGTCTCCTTTTTTGAACAGTGATGTAACTATCGAAAACTTCCACGGATTTGGCAGTCTTCCTAATTCTACACACTCCTGCATTACCTCTGACAATCGTTGACCAATGCAATTTTGTTAGAAAATTGTCAGGTCCCGGACTTGAATTTCCTTTCATGTTTTTCAATGCTTCTTTGACCTTTTTTTCTGTGAACTGTATACTGTCAATTCAGTTATGCAGTCGGGTGTGTCCAGGAAGTTGAAGTAGGGTACCATTTTGGCTCTCAGGGGCGCAACTAGCTTGTTGTTTTTGGGGGGCTTGAGCCCCGGTTCTCTATAAGTCGATTTGGTGACAGTATATGATGTTTTTCAAAACTTACTACTACCTACCTACCTACGTATTTCACAAATGCCTGAATTTGACGGAAATACTCTGCTATAAACTTTGTCAATCAACGATATAATCTACGTTCTTAAATAAACAAAAAAAAAAAAGTTATAATAGTTATTTACATTACAAGTGCGTTTATAAACATGATTACAATAACGAGTGTGAAAGATTAGAACGACGAGGTCGTAGACCGAGTCGTTCTAATCACACGAATTTTGTAGTCATGTTTAAACGCACGTGTGATGTACAACGTTTTATCTACAGAGCGAAAAATAAGAATGTTTTTTCAATTATTTTCGTTTATTAGTAGTTGTCTACCTTCATTTTACCTTTACAGGTTTACCTTTGACATTTGTCAAATCACCAAAAATAGTTGTGTTATAGATTCATAACCTCGTCTATAACACCACTAGTTGTGTTATGAATTCATAACCTAATCTATAACACCACTAGTTGTGTTATGAGTCTCATGACACAACTCAAATATTAGAAAAATAGTTATGTAACAACGTCATAACCAAACGCTTGTAGATAAAAGACATTTTTATGTATGTAGGTATGTACAGGGTGAGTCACTATATTTTGACACCTACCTGCAGCCGTAATTACAGGTGATAGGTAAAAGGTACCTATATATAAATACAAAAGTTGTAGCATTTTATCTGAACCGCCAGAATTTTTAATTAGCTTGAACAAATGAGCAACACAAGGTAAAAAAATATGTTGATGTTCAATTTTTTCAAATGGAATGTACTTTATTTTCTTTCCGATTCTTTAAATTCTCGTTTTTCTGATTCAGAACTATGTAATATGTTAATGTTTCTTTCAATAGTTTTGGAAATATCTGGAGTTTGGTTATTCAAAGACCTATTCACGTATCAGAATGTTTTGTAACAGGTGACAGGTAAATCAAGGTAAAATATATTTTAAAAAAACTACTCTCTTTGAATAACTAAACTCCAGATATTTTCAAACCTATTGAAAGAAACATCAACATGTTATATAATTCAAAGTTTTTGAGGTTATGGGGATAGGTTGTTATGGCTGATGATTTAGCGAAAAATAGTGAAAAAAAGTGCAATTATTGCAAAAAAAAGTTGTTGAGACGTTGAAGTGTCTAAAGTGCAACGCGAACTACCACCCAAGTTGTTCGGGAAGGGTAGATAGTGGAAGTAAGGGCGGAAAGTTTGTTTGTATCCATTGCGTGGAGAAAAGTGACGTTACCTCGGCTCCGTGTCATTTGCTCGACAGCCGTTTGCGCGAGAGAGAAAAGCGCGATACGAAAAGCGCGAGGGACGAAACCGCGACGGAACAAAAACGCGACTGGAGAAAAGCGAGAGTAACAAAAACGCGACTGGATAAAAGCGCGAGGGACAAAAACGCGAGGTACAAAAGCGCGACAGAACAAGATCGCGACTGAACAGAAGCGCGAGAGACAAAAACTCGAGGGACAAAAGCGCGACGGAACAAAAACACGACTGAACAAAAGTGCGAGGGACAAAAACTCGAGAGACAAAAGCGCGACGGAACAAAAACGCGAGGGACAAAAGCGCGACAGAACAAAAACGCGACTGGATAAAAGCGCGTTGGATAAAAGCGCGAGAAATAAAAACGCGACTGGAATAAAGCGCGATTGGATGAGAACGCTCGACTATCTACGAGGAATATAGAACGCTTTCCAAAATACAAGACATTAAGACATTCTCAGTGGCTCCGGTTCAAAAGAGCGATATTTGAAATAGAGACATTAAAAAGGCGACATATTTTTAAAGCGATACATCAAAATAGCGATATTCAAAACAGCGACTTATTAAAATAGCGACA